GGCTCCCTTAAGATTTAAGCAAGACTGAAATAGTCTATGAAAATATATCAAATTTGTACTAATTTAATAAGATTAGTGGATTTATTCTACAATTAAAACACCGCTGCTGTTTCAATTTATTTCTGTTCGATTTTTAAGGCCACACCAATAATCTGATATTTTGACTTTAATAAGTCCATCTTGTTTTAAAGCCAATTTATATATACAATTATATAAATTCAAGTTAATGGAGCAATGCTCATTTGCAACCTATTGCTAAGCTGGTGTTTTCATATTCATATGTTGTTGTTTATTACATTTAAATTGTGCAAAGGTGCTTTGTCACTCAGACAGTACAAAGTTCATATCATCATATGCCTGCCAGGAGCTGCTTGTTTTTAAAATCTCAAAGGTCACTTCGTGCTCGTCACATGTATGCACATGCACAGGTGATGATACAACAGCTACCAGCCAATGATAATACAGTTTCCTCAAACCGCCAAAACTGACCAATCAAATTCAGAATAGGCAATGAAAAGTCAAAGCATGCTCGGAATATATCACTTTGTTTAAAGTTTGCAGAGCTATAGGATATATCAAAAGCTGCTCAAATTCCTTAATCCCACCAACCCACCACTTCTGGCCAGAGGTATCCATTCATCCAAAGAGAATTTATTGATGGAAACAGGATGCTGTGTCCACATGAGAAGACATGGTGATCACTAGACAGAGGACTATGCTGTATCGGGGAAATATTAGATACACTGGGAGAACACTTGTACTGAACTTAATTGTACTGTGCCTCCCCAAATAATTATTAGAATATTATATACATTGGTGTTAATTGTTACTTTTATATTTAAAAAAAAATATATATATATATTATTGGTTTTCGGGGTTAAAGTGCTCCCAATGGTCAACTTCAGGCCCATAGACTCAGATGTATTGAATGTAATCAGTCGAATCGTAGGTACTGTCCAAGGGGATTACCACCCCTTGGTTCAGGTCTATGTCAGAGGGGGTCGCTACCCTTCGGGCAGAGCTCCTATGGAGCATTCAGTCTCTCCTAGCGGGTCTTATATACACCCCCGCGGGATGATCATAAGCTATAATGAGTCGTTGGGATCAGACCATAGTTTAAGTGTAACCGGAGTACTTTACCCCCAAAACCCATTCTCCCACATATTAAATCGTGTTCGCGTTTTTCTTGTCTCATATAACAGAGCAATTGAACCATTAACGAAAATATTGCCTAGCTAAAATTCAATAGGGTTCCGAAAGATCCTGTTAAAACAAATCAGAAAACTCATGTTGTATATTCTATGACATGCGGTGACTGCGCGAAAGAGTATCTGGGTCGGTCCAAACGCCAGTTTGTCAAGTTAAGAACATAGGTCGGAATGCTAAAATTATTACAAATCACTTACATCAACTCTCATGTGTATTGATATCCTTAGCTGGGTATTTTATGCCAACAGTTTTATTGTTGAACTGTTAAGGGCTAAGTACATTTTTGTATCGTTATAGGAAACATTTGAGTATGACTCAGAATTGTGGAAAAACAACCAAACGTTGAACGTTGAAGAAGGAGTGGACGGAAATGCCCTAGAGACCAAGTTGTCCTCGTACAACAACACACCATTCAGCAAGATTTGTCTGGGAATGACTGTCAATTCAGCTGGATCTTCTATAAAGTGGATTGGTATTCAATATAAAGCAAGCTCGCTCTACAGTTTGATGGCAGATGGAGTGTTTAAATCAGTAAATGTTGACAAATCACAGTGGGAATCTCCCTTATATGATTTAAATCTTCCGAATAAATGTCAACATAAAGGTTTCAATACACATCTACCTAATAGAGAAACGAGTACGAATTGGTTATCTCGCTCAGAAAACATGTGGCCAGGAAGAAGGCTTGATTGGATTTGGCACTGATCTCAATGGGTACCGTTGGTATAGTGGATATATTTATCCTTCCCGCCAAGGCAATGGGGCTAAGCGAATCTCAGCATTCGGGTATATCTATGTCGGCTAAGTAATCGTGAAACTTAAGCCTAGTTTCCATTTGGTCGTTAGTGGTCGCTGGCACAACAAGTGGCTGATGTATTAGAGTGTCAACAAAACTTTATGAAACTCTGCAATCATTAAGACTGATTTGCATATAACACACAAAAAGACTATTGAAATTAGACTATTTCACATCTACCGCTTGTCGTGCCAGCGACAACTAACGACCAAATGGAAGCTAGGCTTTACTCTCAGCTTATTTACCATTTATGCACTACAGATAATCAATATTATGCCAGTTTTACTTCGTGCTGTAACGCCAATAATTTTGTTCAAAATGTCTCCATTCAAACGAACGTTTTTGCGTCACTGTATCGGCTGTCCCAATGCGTTGCTCAGTGGTGGAAATCATGGTGGAGCGGGGGGGGGGGTGCGACAGCCCTTCGACAACCTTCACGGAAAATGACGAATTTTCGAAAATTTTGACCTAAAAGAGGGCTAAAATGGGGTGTAGTCATTCTCAGCGGCCAAACATTTTTTGTATTTTCATGGCGGGAAGTGATGGGTCCGCGACTCTCGGGTTGTGTTTTTATTCATTTTAAAAGGGCAAAAAAGGAAATAAACTTTATTTATTTCATGTAAACCTGATTTTCTTCATCTAATCGATCTGTCTATTTTCCCACTGTATGTGTGAGTAAATCTGTATTTTTCGTTGCGAATTCAACCACTAATTTCAAGCTTTTTTTTTTTAATAAATCTGTATTTTTATAAATTGGGAATTTATTTTAGCTTTGGTTGTTTCGCTTTCTTGATTTTATGGTGCTTTTCAGTTTTCACACCATTATTTAGCTTATTTCAGTCCGTTTTCCTGACCTAAAACTGCTTTTTAACTACAGTTTTCGAGGCAGTTTTTAGCCAATTTAATTCCATACATGTAAGAAAATGTTGTTTTTTAATTTTTATTTAATAAAATCACTTTGATGATTCATCAAAGTGATTTTATATCATGATTGCCTTATAAACTTAAACTGTTTATTTTAATGAGTTATTGATGTGTGTGAAACCCTTGTCAATAGGGGCAATACAGATATTTTGGAAGATTGAGTGACATTTGTGTTTTGTTTTGTCACTCTTTGTCATTTACAAAAACAACAATCCCGCGCTGTTTTGCTTTCTTTTCACTCAAATATCGCATCTTTTAAATAAATAATAATTAAAATTTAAAACCGAACCCAAACAAAACACCAGAATTCAACTTTTCATTCAAATTTCGTCTGTTTTTCACCAGATTTTTACTCGGAAAGTAAAGAAAAATATGAAAGTTTTGTTGACCGCGCACGTAAGGGGACTGAGAATGACGCGCAAGAATGCCTTCAATTTCCGCCATGTTTGGCTTCACTTTTGGAGCTCGAGTCAGCCTTCCATGTTATATAGTTCAGTGGTAAAAGCATGCAAACTTTGTGTTTCGCCGCCATCTTGGAAGAAAAATTTTAAAAAATTATCTCGAAGGTCAATGAACTTTGTGACGTCATTGGTTGGGTAGCACCAAAACTACAAGAGAGAATTCGATTGCGTACGTGTCATGTTAGCTAAAAATATGTCGTTTTGAGCGTTATACTGGCCAGCACTCTTCGCAATCAAACAAGAGAAGTCTACACTATCAGATAAAAACATATCAAGCGACTGGGAAAGCAAGGAATGGCGCGATTTACAATACAGGTAATTGATCACAAAATATTGCATTAGTATTTACCTTTTTACGCTCGAATTTCTGCGTTTATTTAACACGGAGTAGGATATACACTATGACAAATAGTGTTACAAACAAGTTACATACTTGGTAAACTTTTCTGCCTTTTGTTTTGGCTCAAAATGCACTACGCGTGGTAATACACGGTATTATATAATATATTTTGTGGCATAAATTAGCAAACGCGCTTATTTTTAAAATGGCGGACAACTGTTGAACTTTTTATCAATTTTTTTCAACAACTAAACGCGACAAACCAGCCAAAATATGAAATTAAATATTCCGTAAGAATACAGCTATAATAGATATGAGTAATAAAAATTTTGGTTGCCAATGTCCTTTAAAGGTGATCTACAGTCCGATCTGCGCATGTGCACAAATGAGCCCACTTTTTATGATACAAACAGTTTAACTATGTTTTGAATTCTTGAAAAGCCTAATTGTTGTTTCTTGATCATTTATTATACTCTAGAAGCTTGAAAATATAAATAGTTGTCGAATAAAGCTCAATATTTTGGACACAAAAATGTAAACAAAGGCTTTGTTTGCATACGGACTGTAGATCACCTTTAAGAGATTCAAAATAGGGCATTTAAATATTGCAAGTCTGGTAAAGCATAAAAACGAATTTGTGGTTTTTCTAGCTAAACAACCTTTTGATGTAATTTGTATCAACGAAACTCGACGACTCCATGCATGGACAACTCTAAGGTTAAAATACCAGGTTACGATTTGATAAGACCGGATAGAAAGTGCAACAGAGATGGAGCTATTCCTCTTGCTGTTTACTATTACCTTAGCTAGTATATTTACCTATAGGGAATGTTATTCCTATATACTAATAGACCTGGCTTAATTCCAGTTAATGCAGAGGTAATTTGTCATGAAATTAAAAAACTGAAAGCTCAGCAAGTTTTAATTGTTAGTGATTTTAATGTGATTTTAACTGTGACATGCTGGGCAGCAACTATACGAATAACAACTCCAAACGAGTGGATGACCTATTACATATCTATACCAACTACAGCAACACATTGATAAGCCAACCCAAACAACTGACTCAACAAAAACACTAACAGACTTTATAATTACAAAAAGTGACGATACCAAAATTCTGATTCAGGAGTGATTGCATTGGGAATAAGTGATCATGTTCTGGTGTATATTTGTACAAGATGATCCGAAGGTTTAATTTATTACCGACATTAATCGACGAAATCGCTTATAGCATCAAAACCGTTAATGCCGATATTGCCCTATTCACTGAAACTTGGTTGCGTGATACCGTTCCTGATATTTCTATTAATATCAAACATCAACTTTATAGAAGAGCCGTGCCAACCGGCTTCATGGAGGCGTATGTATGTACGTAAAAGATTCAATACATTGTAACATCTTAGCAGACCTAAATCACAGTGATCATGAAGTTCTTTGGGCTAATCTTCGACCAAAACGCTTACCACGTGGTATCTCAAATATCATAGTAGCTGTAGTATATCAACCTCCATGCAGCCGCGGACGACGCCACTATGAAGGACTACCTTATATCGTCCTTGGAGATCTTAGAGATAAAATACCCTAATTGCGCAATCGTACTAGCTGGAGACTTCAACAAAACGCTCCTCCCCTTGCTCCAGTCTGCTGTGAAAGTCTTTCAACTTAAACCGGTCGTTGACTTCCTTACTAGAGGAGATAGAACTCTTGACCAAATTTTTACCAACCTTACAGAGTATTTCTCACCCCCGTGTAGCTTACCCGCATTTGGTCTTTCGGACCATCAAACTATATTTATCTCGGCTAGAATTCGTGATAAAACCTCTAAGCCCAAACGCAAATTAATTACGACGAGAGATAAACGACCCAGTAAAATAGCAAGTGTTGGTCGATTTCTTCAACAAGTACCTTGGTCTGACTTGTTCTTCCCAGCTCAGTCAAGTGAAGATAAACTTAACATCCTTACAGATATAATAAATTTTGGCCTAAATACCATCATGCCCGTGTCAACCATCAAGATACATGAATCAGATCGGCCCTGGATGAACACTAATCTAAAACAGCTCATCTCTCGTCGCCAAAAAGCTTTTACATCTGGTAACAATCCCCTCTACAAAATTCTAAGAAACAAAGTCAATCAAGCATGCAAACGCTGCAGAAAATCCTACGTTAACAAAGTTAAAGAAAATCTGCTGCAGAAAATCCTACGTTAACAAAGTTAAAGGTTTACGAGATTCCAAGCCCCGTGACTGGTGGAGAGAAGTTAAACAGATTTGCGGCGCCAGTAAAATTCCTAACCTTATTACTCCATCCAAACCTTGTCTGTGATAAGGAATCTCTGGCTGAAAACATCAATTCGGCGTTTGTCAACATAATGAATGATTCTTTACCTCTGTCAGTTTGTATACGTGTAGAAATGGCTGATGATCGACCAATATCTGTCACTGAACACTCTGTCGCAAGAAAGCTTTTAGAGCTAAATGCTTCTCGTGCCAGTGGTCCCGACAACCTCCCTAACTGGGTGCTTAAAAATTTTGCGTATATTCTAGAGGCCCCAATTGCTGATATCCTAAATACTCGTTCTTGGAATGTAAAGTTCCTGACGCATGGAAACTTGCCAATGTCTGTCCTCTGCCTAAGGCATCTTCTATCTGCAACATCAATGAGGATTTAAGACCAATCTCTCTAACACCCACCCTCTCAAAAGTTGCTGAGAGCTTCATCATAGACATTGCGTTGAAACCTGTTCTACTACCTATTATCGACCCAGGCCAATTTGGGTTCATCCCAGGATCGTCAACTACTCTAGCACTAATCTCTATGTTCCATCATTGGTTACGAGCTACTGACGGCACCGCATCCACCGTAAGAACCATACTTTTAGATTTCCGCAAAGCTTTTGACCTTGTGGACCATAATATTTTAGTCGCCAAACTGTTTAGTATAGGCGTAAAACCCGCGGACGTCAATTGGATAATTGATTTCCTAAGACATAGAAAGCAGAGGGTTAAACTAAACAACATCGTTTCCGATTGGCTTGACGTCCCAGCAGGAGTGCCTCAAGGAACTTGTCTTGGTCCCTGGTTGTTTTTAGTACTAATCAGTGATCTTAAGCTACCTCATGAATCCTTACCTATGTGGAAATTCGCCGATGATTTCACAATCTCTGAAGTGATACCACCCTCCAAGCAAAGCTCTCTTCAGCAAGCTGTTGACTATATCGATGCATGGTCTCAAGAAAATCGATTACAATTGAAACCAACTAAGTGTAAAGAAGTACGATCATGTTTCAAGAGAAACCCTCCATCATTCCCTGTAGTCGAACTCAATGATTTCCAGTTAGAAAGAGTTAGCGTGGCCAAAATTCTTGGCGTAACAATCCGGGACGATTTTAAGTGGAACGACCATATCGGTATTGTCACCGTAAAAGCCGCAAAACGACTGTATCTCTTGAGACAATTAAAAAGAGCCGGGATCTGTCCAAAAGATCTTATCACTTTTTACTGTAGTGCTATCAGATCACTTCTGGAATATTCGTGCCAGTTATTTCATCGGAGTCTCCCTAAATATCTGTCAAATGAACTTGAGAGTTTCCAAAGGCGCGCTATGCGTATCATCCACCCGGACTTGAAATATGCTGACGCGCTAAAAGACGCCGGCATTTGCACTCTCTTCGACAGACGAGCCCAACTATCAAGTCATCTTTTTGAAGATATTGTTAATAATCCGAATCATGAGCTCAGTGGCCTACTTCCACCGCAAGCACATCATCATAACGATTTAAGGAGCGAACGAAGGTTTAATGTACCTGTTAGTAAGACAGATCGTCTTAATTTAAAAAATCTTTTATTGTTAGTCATAGCTTAAATATGTAAATTTTAACAACAATTAATCTATCATGTTTCGCTCGCTACTCTGGTTTAAATAATATGCATATGTGCGTATTATATATGCATCTATGCATCTTCTTGGCAGGTATATATTATATATGCATATATGCATCTTCTTGGCAGGTGACGTCATCCCTTGGGTATTTAAGAAGCCACGATCGCAGTTTTAGATCACCCCTGATGAAGACACTAGACTGGAGTGTCGAAACGTTGGGTCTTGATTACAATTCGACTGGGCTTTGTAATCATTTATTTAAACCAGAGTAGCGAGCGAAACATGATTGATATACCTGGTTGCAGTGAACGAACTAACTTTATAACAATTAATCTAGGTGATAAATTGACTTACTCAGTTACTTTTATTTTTAATTATTCAGAATTGTTGTAATAATGTATAAAACTCAATTGTTGTAAATATTCACATAATTCAGTCTATGACTGCAAAGTGTTTTATTTGAATAAACGAATCTAATCTAATCTAAAAAAAAAAAATCTCTCTCACTGTGGCGTCCCAATATTTTTGTTGTAGTATGGTGGGACAACACACTGAACACAGAGAGACATTTGGAGCCAATCAAGTAAAGGCAAGGAGAAAGAACTGCAATCATTTTCAAATGTGTTGAGTGATATCCTAACCAGGCCTGCGGAGAAGTTGCGTAAGACAAATCTTTCCCAGCGAGGCAGCGACACCCTGTCGACGTTTGTATCATTGTAAAACGAGACGAACGATTTGTTATTCGACTTGCAAATTTCCATCATGAAATTATAGAGGCAATGTGCAGGGAAACCGGGGTAATATACTCCTCTCTCGTCGGCCCTGACTCCACCTGCCTATTATTCCCCACTCTTGCACAACTCTGCGTTTCACCGCATTACTTTGGTGTGGTACTGAAAAGAAGGAGCTTGGCTTCAATAAAATGTTCACCCAACCAATATACTATGCAGCGCAAGAGGGAAATAGATTTTTTTGTAATAATTGCATCTTTCGACTGATCATGCATCATCTACAACCGCGAGTGTACTTACAAGTTGCTTTTTGTTGGTGGTCCCAACGATCGTTCATTAAATTTTTGGTTAGTGATTGGAGAATGAACCTTCTTACTCGCAAGTACTAAATGGAAGTTGCTTGAAACTGCTTATAAATTCTTGATGTTTTAAGCATTTCAACAAAATGTGACTTCTATCTAACTTATAGTACAACAGCAAGAAAACTGCCTTCTTTATTAAAGGTTGCGCTTGATGTAGAAAATGTATTCACTCATGGCTATATGTAACAAATTTAGTAAGAGTTAATTACCGAGAACCGAGGCATTTAGTGAAATACAGGCCGAGGCGCGCAGCGCCGAGGCCTGTATTTGACTAAATGCCGAGGTTCGAGGTAATTAACTGACTTATTACATGATTGAGAAGGTTTTCACAAAACAGCTCTTACGCTTGTGGGACGTAACACAAGTTTGAGTATGCGCACTATACACGCTTTAAAATGTGGTTAAGCATGCGCAGTATATCATTTCACGTCCCACAAGCAAAAGAGCAGATGTCACTGTATAAATTCCCTGCACAAGCAAGTTTGATGGTTGATCCAGCTAGTCCTCGTGCGCCGAATGATAGATACTCTTACCTAATGGTAGAGTTTTGACGGGCTCTGAGGTACACGGCTGTTGTCTCTTTCCCGACTGGAGACGGTTCAGCGTTTATCGAGTTGGAAAGAGACTAACCTGTCATTAGGTACTTACCCAGATAAGTACATCATGAATATAGTTTAAATGAGGTATTTATCTAGATAAATACCTCATTAAACTATTCATGAGGTATATATCTAGTTAAATACCTCATGAATATGAATTTTTTTTTTTTTCTGTGTTGGTGTAGTGTACTCAGGTGAATATGATATTTGTGGTGTTACTCTGAGTCTATACCCACACCGGGCGATATGAATTTCTAGTAATATGAATTACTAGATATCCATATCTAGTAATTCATATTACTAGAATACATTGGTATCGAAGGAACTAGATTCTGTTCCGAAATATCACTTACTCGAACCGTCCTGACCGCGTAGCTCAGTTGGAAGAGCATTGGGCTAGTATTCCAAAGGTCGTAGGTTCGAATCCCACCGTGGCCGGGCATATTTTTCAAGCCCGCCCGGTGTGGATATACACTCAGAGTAACACCACAAATATCATATTCACCTGAGTACACTACACCAACACAGAAAAAAAAAAATTCATATTACTAGAATACATTGGTATCGAAGGAACTAGATTCTGTTCCGAAATATCACTTACTCGAACCGTCCTGACCGCGTAGCTCAGTTGGAAGAGCATTGGGCTAGTATTCCAAAGGTCGTAGGTTCGAATCCCACCGTGGCCTGGCATATTTTTCAAGCTCGCCCGGTGTGGATATAGACTCAGAGTAACACCACAAATATAATACCTCATGAATAGTTTAATGAGGTATTTATCTAGATAAATACCTCATTAAGCTATTCATGAGGTATTTAACTAGATATATACCTCCTCATGTGTGCATTGAGCAATTCAAATTCATGCATCAGCCCCGCTCTTCCCTGCTGAAAATCAAATCCCTCCCCGGGCTTTCAGATGGACGAGTAAATTACGCTAGATACAAGGTCTTGAATAACAAAAGAAACCGACTCAATCATGTAATAATGAGCATTAGTATAATTACATAGGTGATTATTGAAAATTCTCCACGCTGATTGGTTGCCGTTGAGGTGATTATTACGCGATAATCACCTAAGCGATTTTCAAAATGGCGGTCGAAGCCGTTTTGTCAATTAAATGACGAAGAAATGTGCATTTTTAATTTTTTTTCCAAATAATCACCTATGAAATTATACTAAAACAATTATTCACCTCAGGCTCGGTGATTATCGTGAATAAAAACCTCGACTTCGTCTCGGTTTTTATTCACCGATAATCACCTCGCCTTCGGCGAATAATTGTTAAATAGCTACATGTAAAAGCGGCTAGCTACATGTAAAAATACATTATTATTAGGAAGATAATGCATCATTGATGTTAATGTGTGTTGTGCAAAGCAAGCAAAGGAATACGAATTAAATAAATGTTTATATACCATGCATTAATTACTATATCCAAACGTAGGCCTACATGATTGTGTTATATAATATTATTATAAGTATTAGCATAAAAAGAGGCGAATTAGCTATTAAAATGTTTAACATATAATATCGACATATTACGAAAGTCACCGAACTGTGGAATCGCATCAAAAATTCGTATCCTCGCCACTCCCACAAAGGTCTAACGACCGCACCAAGATTGCATGCTCGTCCTGAATATCTAATGAGTTCACTTTTAAATGACGATATTAATTAAGTTTCTTTATAATTAGCTTTATTGTTTATGTATTTGCTGCTTTACAAAATGTCGCTTTCACAGAAGCTGTCTTCCTTTCAATATCAGTGCATGCCGGTTAATTTATTAAATAATTTTTCTTTTAAAAACCTAATTCAAAGGACTATGAAAGAGTCTGTGTGTTAAAATAAATTAATTTCAAAGGAGAAGATTCTCGACTACAAGTAAATAAATAAGAAAAGAGCTGCTTGTAAACATTTCAAGATTGAATTGAGAACATTTTAGTTTCTATGTATCTAACAACATTCCTATACATTACATAAACGGGGTTGAAAATTCTGTCCTTAAAAGTTATAAATCTCATTGCTTTAGTCGCCTTTAGACATTTGGTAGGAAAATATATACTGCATAAACGAATGATAGGCGATAGGAGAAACGCTATCACAATGTTGCCATGGTTGCCACTATTTTTGAAGCTCTTCATATTTTTGAAACAACACAACTTAAAACTGACGAACATTGCATGACCTTGCAGTATTTGAACTTTGGATTCTTGAGTGACGTTTTGATTAATTAATTTTCCTAAATGCTTTACTGGAAATACATGTTGTGGGTTATAAATAGTTGTCGGCGTTGAAAATGCGATAGTTTATTGCATGAACGATTGCATGTGTATAATTAAAAGTGCTGCATGATGATTTAAAGTAAAAGCTTGTATATCGTTTTCGCTATCGAGTTCAATTCATTAAAATGAAGATTGGAGTTGTGAGAGGATTACAGATACCTATGTAAAACACCATTTAGCCTCTTTAGTTCATGATATTTAACTGTGCCTTACATTCTTTGATCAGTCGTTATTCATATATGTGACGTAGCCTAAATTCCGGACATTTGCATATCAATAAAACTGAAATAACTCGGACACAAATTGTGCAAACGAAAATCTTCAAATAAGTTACAGTATCATTTCAAAAGTTCTTAGAAATGAGACTGGTGATAATAATAATTGACGTTAGGTGCACTTTAAATATAAACTCTCTTAACCGCAGCAATATGGAAAAGGATCTCACCAAAAGTGCTGCTGAAGAGCCTTGCGGCAAAAAAATTTCATTTTTAACAAGGTTCTTTCTACACGATGACAATTACTTTGTTTATATATCACATGCAGCCGCATTCTTTAAGTGCGAAATAATTTTGGTATTAGGATGTTGCATGCATGTTTATTGAACTAAAATTGAATATGTAGAATTATTATACTGTAAGTGTGATATTATATCTAACAATAATAAGGACAATAATGCATGTGTCCACATATACATTCCGTTTATATTGAATGATCACAGCATGCAATTCAACCCACTGCATTACTAACATACCGCTGTAAGCTTCGAGAAGTCCAATACTCAACTGATAGTGCCAAAGGAGTTATTCTTAACAAATTTCCTGTGGAACAGTTTTAAAAGATGGCTCGTTTAGGTTGTCTCGTATGGTCTGGTCTAGTTCTGTTCGGCGCGCTCTATATATTTCAAGCACTCGCATTGACAAGTTATATGGTAAGAAATATTGATACAGCGTACTGGGTCTTTATTCCACTGTTCCTACCCGCTCTAATATTCTTGAGCTGTTTCGGATGTTTTCTGCCAAAAGTTATGCACGAGAAAGCGGTTCGCTATGTCTGGTTCGTGTGGTTTTTATATACCATTGTACTGGTGCCTGCCGTTGCGATAATATTCACAAAAGCTGTTCCAGAATTGAGTACCTCAGATACATTTGGTCCTAATGTTTTAAAAACAATGCTATGTATAACACCTGTTTTGCTCATACTTCTACTCAATGTCACTATTTCGCCACCAAATCGAAGATTTATCGAGAGAGTGTCTACCTCAACTGCATTAGATTTATTCGACAGTATCGAAATGCTGGCAATAATATTGGAACAAAAGCAATTTAAAGAGGGCTCATTCGAGCTTGACAGCTCAATTGAGACTGCCATAATTGTGTTCGTTTGTATTAGTCTGTTCATTTCTCCCTTCGCATTATTTCAAAATAAAGTAAGGTATGGTGAAGTTACGGTGCGAAAGAAGACGATGTTGGTTCGTACTTCAATTCAAGTCTTTTTAGTCAACTTGACATTTCTGGTTATGAGATTCATTGTGTGGTTCCATTACGATTATGACGCTTCAATATTTATCACAAAGAACATCATTTCCATAGTGATTAGTGGTATTGAAATTAGCTCTGTCTTTGGCTATTTCAATTGCGGTATTGACAACAACGAAACATTTAATGTGTGAAATATTTAATGTTCGAAACTAGGTATATCAACAACTACCGTTGATTTAACAATTTTTTGCAAGTTGCGGCGTAGGGATTTATGAACGAATTAAACGTCTCTTTAATATTGTGTTCATTTGTAAAACCACTAGAGCACATAATGAAACCGTTTACAGAACAGCAATTGTTTATGACTTGCTCGTCTGCACAGGCCACTTTGACAATTTTTACTATGACAAGTACACTGTCTTGTTCAAAGCATATTATGATAGCCTTTGAACAAGTGCTCTTGTAAAGGAAAAAAATTGGAAAACTACAAATTTTGTTCATCCGTATGGATCAACAAAGAACATTTGACAAAGTATTAGCAATGTAAACACTATAGCATGCACGTGGTTGACCAGTCGTCATCAGTTGTTATAATAGGTGGTAACAGTTAAGGTGTCGTTCAAAAGGTCGAAACTTGTCACTATATAAATTGTATTGTACATTAACACAGTCACGTGCAATTGACAAAGAAAACTTTCTCGTAATACATGCTCTTAATCGACTATACGATTTGAAAGACATAATAAAAAACATCATGCATGCAGTGACATTGATACAATTTGCATCAAGAAATAAATAATTCAGCTATACGAGTAAATGCTCAAGTTATTTCGCAATGCGTTGATGTTATGAAAAATATCGCAAGCCATGCAATTATGTACTGTTTAATAAACGAGCAGGAGTGTTTTATGAGGTTTAAAGTCACGAGCGCGCAGCGCGAGTGGCTTTAGACCTAATGAAACACGACCTGCGAGTTTATTAAAGTGCATATGACAGGAAGTTTTTTATTTTCTTAAATGAAAGAACTCTCTAAGCTGTAGTGTAACTTATTTTTTCAGTTTCTTGTTTTCATGGTTTGTTCCCGAGATATTTCAATTTGTTTGTTATGTGAATGAGTGTGAATATGTCCGCTAATTTATGACGTCACGTTGGTTGCAAGCTCAACTTACACTGGTTATAAATCTATTAACTCTAAAATCTGTAGATATCAGCTCACGTTTTTCTTCAGTATTTTATCACATTTACAAGTGAGTGAAGTTAGAAATTCTTATCTTGGATGATGGCCGTGATATTCAACCATTTTGAAGAGATTGCAACCAACGTGACGTCATAAATTAGCGGACATATTCACACTCATTTACATACCAAACAAATTGAAATATCTTGAGAACAAACCATAAAAACAAGAAACTGAAAAATAAGTTACACTACAGCTTAAAGAGTTCTTTCATTTCAGAAAATAAAAAAAATCATGTTATATGCACTTTAAAGGCTTCAAACACGACTACAAATTCAATAGATATACTGCCTTATTAGTATTCTTTATATAAAGAATACTAATTAGGAGTGTTTTATCAGGTTTAAAACCACTGCACGTGACATATTATGGTTGACATGATTGCCAATAAGCTTATGAATTATTAATGTGTGTTGTGAGTGTTTGAATTTTAATTTATTAAAATTTTTTCGTGATTATAACAGTTGTATTACTACTTATTAAGCAAATTTTGAAAAGTTTTGTTCTATATTAAATAGGCCTACTCCGGGTTCAAAAGTCGCCTTAAGTCGCAGCGACATTGGGCGACTTAAGGCGACTTAGGAAAATTTGAGGAAAGTTTTGCCGCGACTTAGGGCGATTTAAGGCAACTTAGAACGATTTAAGGCGACTTAAGAGGAATTCCAGACAGGCGTATCTGGGATGTATATTGAACACCCCACTCCTGGATTACCCAATTCTGACCATAAGTCGCCAAAACTGGTTTGTTCCTTCATATCTTCATATATAAACAAACTTTGTCAGTTAGTTGGTTATGACACTGGATGATATACTACGTCTATAGAAATTGTATATAATTATGCCTATGGAAGCCAATCATAAAACATATCATTGTTGGTAGATGTCTACTGATAAAACACATGCACTTTTGCAAGTATAAATGCAAATACATTCCACATCATTATTGCTCAACTGTATCCCTTACTTTTATTAAATCACAACATGTACATACGTACATAAAATAGCGACATGTCTAACAGAAATACTACATATTTCTAATTAATTTAGTTTGGTTATCCATGAGAATAATTTTAAATTACCTTAATTTAAAGTGAACAAAAAATACAAATATCTATTCTTTGAAATGTCTTAGACTCTTAGTCAATGTTTTTGATGACGCACTGTGTAAAGTGGCATGGAAATTTTCATGTTTTATCATCCTGTACACGTTTTTGAAAATTGTTTCATCCTTTTCTGGGATCCAGCCAATTTGCTTTTCTCCATTGGAAAATAACTGTAGATAAGCCGCCATTTTTGTTTTACGATCTGCTCGCTGGCGTATAGCCCTAATTAGTCGACCTGAGTGGCGGGATTCTATGAGGCGTTAAAAAGGCGATAAAAACGCGGGCGTGCAGGCCGAACTCCGAAGAGTCAAATTGTACATATTAAAAATGGCGGCAATAGGTTGGTGCAAAAATGTATTAAACACATTATTAAAAGTGCTGAAGTGCACAATATTATATTTATTCATACGACTACGTCACTGTACAGCATTAGTGACAAACGATCGCAAACTGTTTTCCTTCCACCGCCTTGGGGAAAGAACAGTCAGTGCGCAGACTACTATAAATCTTGATGCATTTTGTTTTTGTTACGATATTTTAAAACATACATTGGGTGAGAGTATGAGAACATTGTTACATTGTAGTCGATAAAGACAGGGAGTCTATAAGAATGTATGGGCGGTGAAACGCCAGTGAAGCAGCTGAAACATGTGTGATGCACTTTAGGCCTGGGGCCTAGCGTGCACAACAAGGAGTTCTCGCAATCTCGAAACCAGAGCCCACAATCCTCTGTGGAGGCTTGCTGAGGCTCTGGGAAACACCGGCGACTTTTGCACGAAAATCAGTACATTTGGATCCAGTACTCCGCTCGACATTTATAAATAGACATTACTGCCGTCAAACATGAATTATGCCGTTGTTTAAGCTTATTACGACTTTAGTTCCGTTCAAAGAACACTTGCCATGGTTTTGAATTGTTGTAAGATACTGGTAGTGATTTATTTTAACTTGTTTAGTTAAGGTAAATCATGGAGTGTTGTGTTATTTTAAATACTATAGGCAACGGCTTATCATGACCTAATATGGTAATGCTGCATTGTTGTTATTCTACATTTTGTTATTGGCATATCAATATCTGAATAGTCTATTGATTTCATACGAGAAGCTAGGGAAGATTAATAAGTTTATTAAAATTATGCTGTGTGTTTCATTGATATGTTTAAACATAATACACAAAGAGAAATAAACTTTATATTAATTTTAAACGATGTTTGAAATCCGAATAACTAAATACGGCTCAAAGTTTAAATAATAATTAGCACTTGAAAAACTTTGAGGGCCGCCCGAGCTTGGGCCTGGGGACGAGGATGTTGAAAAACAACCAATCAGAGCCCGACTTTCACCGGCGTTTCCCACAGCCTCAGCAAGCCTCCACAGAGGATTGCGGGCTCTGGTTTCGAGACTGGAGTTCTCGAAGAAAATGTCCCAATGCCTTTTTTAAGGAATTTTCACTGGAGGGATGCAAAACAGGAAAAAAGGCAGAACGAAAAATATGAGTCGTCGAGGTTTGGCGAACGTGCGAGTCTGAAGAGAGATTTTGTAAAACTTTAATTTATTAACTTCAGCTACATTTTACTTTAAACAATAACTTCAACTCTTTGTAGCTATAATCGTACAGCTATAACCAGTGGCGTAGCCAAACCTTTATTTTGCGGGGGGCGAAGGGGGGGGGGGGGCGAACCTCACTAGGAGGGTCCGGAAAATTTTGAAATCTAGGGTCCTGAATTGCGATTTCATGCATTTTGAGTGTGAAATCTAGCAGAATTCCGAAGATTATAAAGTATATCGAAGACATGAATTTTTCCAGACATTTCTACTCGGAATTAAATAAATTGGAAAGGTCACCTTGAAAAATAGGAGGAGGGGTCAGTGTCACCTTATTTCCTCTCTGTGATGCTGGGGGGGGGGACCCAATGTGATTTTGATCAGAAATGTTGCATTTAAATCATTTTAGGTTATATGAGACACCATTTCCGCATTCTCAAAACTGCGATGCTTTTTCATACGATACAGAATAAATCTGAGAAGAAATATTCATGCTATGATGATGCATACATGTATTTAACAGTTAAGAATCTAAACTAAATCTATTCTTCTTGGAACCATATCTACAACTGCTTTAACGAGATTTCACAAATCAAGTTCCTCCAGTATATCGTCTTTTCCTGAGTCGACACGTACTTAATCAGTTTTAGCTTCGAGCATGTAACGTGTACCCTCCCCCGCCCACCCCAATTTCTCTACGGATTTAGCCTTTCTGAGAGAATGTTTTTTTGGCGATTGGGGGGGGGGGGCTCTTAATAATATAACTTGATATTTTTAAGAAACAAATTTTGCAATAAAACCTAACAAAACACAACGCCTCTGCGGAGGAGAGTGCTAGGAAATAGTCGCAAGGCTTGGAAAGGCTAGCATTTTATCGGATTGTTTGCATGAAATCTATCGCTATTATGAAATACTCTGTGAAGAACAATATGAATTACACACAAGATGGCTGTGGAGGAGGCTATGGAAGGGCATAATCTCATTATCAAGTAAATCAACTGCAATTCTGACAGCAATCATGAGCAATTCTGCTTCGCACTTCGGGGCAGAAATGGCTTTACTGGGGGGGGGGGGAATTCTTTCCCTGGAGGGGCAATTGCCCCCCCCCCCAGATATATAGTTAAAAAAGGCACTGCGATGTCCGAGAAACCTTTTTCTTGTGCTACACAGATCGTTAGCTACCGCTGTAGTGCTGAAAAAATGTTTCTGTAACGTTAATCACCGAAATATTTCAAATTCAAAACTATAAACTTGCGTGTCAACTTCGTCGGTTCTTACGTAGGCGGCAAATATTTTGGATTTTTTTCAGCGAGGAAACGGCCAAATAGTATTAAACTTTAGAGATGTGATGTACATGATGTTAAAATTTATTATGCAAGATTTCATCGTGTAGTTTTTGACCCTTTTTTTGCAATCGTTTATAGAATTTAACCTATTCAATTTTTTTTACAACACAACTGCTTTCGCAAATACGAGGTCTAAAAATACCTATGTAAAAACCTTGAAATCATATTTTTTGTTCACTTTATGTGCCTATCTGAAAGACAAGATATATGTTTTCATTGATGTGTATATATTTAGACATTATGTGAGTAATAATACAAGAAAATGTTATCTTACTTGGCAGCAACACTTGACCGCGTCGCTATTGGCGGCTTCGAAATTTTCAACATGAAATTTTTCCATAAAAAATTGAGATGCTTGCTGTAGCCCAAGAAGCTGGAAAAATCGCGCAATGACTGCCCTAACTAATAGGATCCATTTGACCTGAGTACGCCGGTAACACAACTTTTTTACCCTTTTTCACAATTTTCGCTCGAAGTCCACAACCCAAAAACTAAAATGGTTCTTATATCATTTCAAAGTGCTCAGGGGAATGGGACGAGTAAACAAAAAACGAAAGGCTGGAAAAATAAACTTATGAGTATACAAAACAATAAAAACAATACGCAAAACTGACCTGAATACACAAATGTACAAAGAAAAATGCGAATACGAAACCAAACAAGCCATAAAGTAAACAAACCATATCATTTAATTACTTAGAATTGTCCAAATATACTATTAAAAACATATTTTACCACAGCTAATGCCGAAATGCAAAATTCACTAATTCATTCTTCGTGGCAAACTTGAAATTGTGCTTTAATATAGTGCGCGGACATGACGAGAAAACCGCTACAAAACTGCCATTTAAACTGATGGCAATTCCAATTCTTCTGCGCTCAAGCAGTGCGCCATCTTGAAATATGCGCATAACACATGTTTCAAAGCTTTCACTGGCGTTTCACCGCCCATTCTTATAGACGCCCTGATAAAGACGACTTAAATAATTAATTACACACAAGATCTTAACTATTTATGTCTATAGCAAATCTGAACTATTTATGTCTATAGCAAAATATAGCAAGACTTTTTAGGCTTGTGTCGGTAAAAAAGTCAAGCCAAGTAGAGAAGTAGACCCTTCGTTTGCTAAAAAACCGAGACGTGCATGGTGTTACTTCATTTAGAAAGGACACAAACGAACACAGACGAAACGAGGAAATGCTTGACTGTTGGCAAGGAAGGGCAGCAGTTAACAGCAACGATTTCGTCTGTTGCGGCTGAGTACAACTTGCATGTGAGCATACTGTATAAAACATTATTTGAGGGGTTTTCCCTATGCAACTTAAATGTTCTGAAAACATTCTTAAATAGAACGTTTGCTTACAGTAATAAAGTAATAATATTTAACGATTCACTGTAATCACTGAGCCTGAGGCGAATAATTGTT